CCGTACGTCTATTTTTATAACATATATGCTTTTTGGCTGTTGATATAACCTTGTACTTCCATTCTATCCATGCATCGTTAGCATTATGGTTATCAATAATCCAATATTCAAACTTTTCAGTTAGGTCTTTCTTGAACGGTTCCCAGTCAAAATCCTTAGGAATTTTCCAAAAGAGTCCATTATCATTATTTTCTTTTATTTTTTTATAATTACAGTTTTTAATAGATATATTCATTATTAACATATTATGATCGCTACCTAGGTGATATAATCCATATTCATCTATAAATAGTTCATTCATATCATCAAATACATTTTTTGAAACAATCATATAGTCGAGTATACTACTGTTATTATTTCAGTTCCATGTAAAAACACCTCTACATTTATCTGTACCGTTTGCAATTATATAATCTGTGTTATTACAAAAATCTCTTAAACATTGACCATTATAGTTTGTAGCTTTGTCACCAAATCTTATCATTAGACCAATTTTACCATTAAAGCCACCAACTATTAACACTCTGGCATTATCCTCAATTTCATTAATTTCAATGCTTTCTGCTAATAGGGATATATACATTTCATCTGTTAGTGTGCGATTAGTGTTGTCACATGGGAAGTATGTTACAGCAATATAATATATAGAATCCTGTGATGTATTTAATTGTACATTGATCCAAAATCGTTCGAACAAGTCGTCTCTCGTTTCTAATACACTGTCATTAAGGATAATAATGTTTTCTTTTATGAAAATTCCTACCCCACCTTGACTTTTCTTTATTTCTTTGGTTCTATTTTTGCTAACCCAGTTATATCCTTTAATGTGAACTCTATCGTTGTCTTTCAGAAAAGTTTCATTCATTCTAAGTATATCTATGTTGTTTTTAAATAAAAAGTTTTGAATCTCATGTTTTTTACTTTTATATCCACGGATATTATTAAAGGCAATATTAATATGTGTATTGATTTTATGTTTTTTTTTATTTCAGGCCATTCTAATTGATTTATGTTTAAAATTATTATTATTAGCTTTAGAATGGGTTGATTTGTGTGCTACCATCATCACAACTCGTGTTATTTACTAATAATGACATTGATTTAATTTGTCTATTAGATTCTGTACAACCATTAATTTGGTTTTGAGTATTTCCTGGTTTTTATCAGCAGTTGGTCTACCTGATCTAAATATCGAGTTATTTTCACATTCATCGATTAAAATATTAAATTTATTATCAGAACAAAATTGTAAAGAATTCATAGCGTTACCCCACAGTAAATCTCTGTTCATTTCAGGAACGGCGATATCTTCATTGCCATTTCTTTATTGTACTCTACACATGTTTTGTCCCTCTTTGTGCCCAAGTTCTTTACAGGCTCTACATCGAATCGCTATTTAATGAACCTCTCTCACAATCGTTGTTACTTAGCTTAAATTTAGCGTCATTGTCTATAATCTGGCATTTGTTTACTGTAGCTAGCTGTTTCAATTCGCTGTTAAGTCGGTCTACTCTTTTCTGGCTTTCCATGTTATCGATCCGTGGGCAGATTGTTGATATGATTATCTTAGTTTCTGGTGCGCTTAATTTAGTATCTTGTATCATAGAGAAAATAGAACAGAAGGAGTAACATCGACTTTATCGCTTATCTTTAATCCAATTAAACAGTCAGCTAGTGCCTATTAAATTGCACTACGGCCACCCGCGGAGCTTATCACAGCACTATCTCTTTGTACACACAGCTCCTCGCCGCTTAAGTGTAAACCCCTATAGACGCTCTGGCGTTAGTGGAGTACTTAATACACAAACATTTAAATATTAGAATTAAAAAACACATGCGCAGTTCATCATCCACGGTTTGTTTGTGTGCGTGTTTGGTATATTCAGACAGATTTTTTTTCGGCGAGAAAATGCATACTTTAAACGTCAAAATCGGCTTAAAATAACTGTTTCTTTTATCAGTTGTAAGTATTGGCTTATTTTTATTGTAAGAACGAAAGTGATGTCAATAAATAATATTTGTAAAATGTTCCGGTTGTTGCCGGTTAATAAAATTTAGTTCAGACGAAAATAGAAAGCTGTATCTTTCATTTGGTACACGAATTAACCGTGTCCGCTCATGTCCGGTCGAGATATTAAGACCATAATGTGGCCTAAAATCTGTTCGATCGGCCTCTGTAGCTGTCTCTTATACACATCTAGATGTGTATAAGAGACAGCAGCTTGTATTTTAATTACAGAATAATATTTTTTAGACTACTATTAAATTGATTTTGTTACAATAACTTCACGTGTTGTGGGGCTACCATACCAAATACCGAGCGAGAAATAATATCGTTCATATCCAATTACCGATTCACTTATCATCTAATAAAATTACTCAAATTGTGGATAATAAATTTCTTTCTCCGATGAGATCCTCGTGAGGGTTTATCGTGATTTAAGATGCTAGGCTAATAATAAGTCAATTGTTTTTACGCTGGCTAGGCTGCTGATTGAAGATGTAACAACAGTATGTTCTACTAACTTAAATTTTGTACTCGGTGAAATGGGTTATACTGAGCCGATTTTCACCAAAAAAAAAAAAGTCGATATGAGGTGCTAGTTAACGTTTAATAATTTATTTGGAAAGAAAATAATGAAATTATGTCTGTAAATAGAAGTTCCTATGCATGCACCAGCCGAATGTAGTACAATTGTTTATCAATGAAATTAATCTGCTCAATAAACAATTTTAATTACTTACGACTTACGACTTTTCATGTATCTCGACCTCCTATGGGCGGCACAGAAGAACTATCCGGACATCTCCAGAATAGAAATTATCATCGAGGACCCATCGAACATACTATATAAAAAAAGCAAAGGACATACCTCGTGCTCAAACGTTGACGTACAAACTACGTCAGCGACCGACCAGAGTGCCACTGGTCACTACATATCACCCTAGGTTACCACTAAGGGCTATAATTCAGAAACATATCCCCGTTCTACAGACCACAGCAACGTCTTAGGTCTCAGTTCTTTTCCGGACACACCGTTCATAGCCCATCGCAGACCACCTAACCATCGTGATATACGATCTGAATTCAAGAGGAAACTAACTCTGGCGACAGCCACAATTTGGGCAGTCACCTTTGTGGTTCATCATGCTTGATTCTATACAATCATTCTCAGAGCCACCAAACAAACCTCATATTTCTGATAAGATAAACAATTCAAATGTCATTTATCTCATCTAAATTCAAGAGGCAAACTAACTCTTGCGACAGCCACAATTTGGGCAGTCACCTTTGTGGTTCATCATGCTTGATTCTACACAATCATTCTAGAGCAACCAAACAAACCACATATTTCTGATAAGGTAATCAATTAAAATGTCATTTATCTCATATATTGTAATATTTGTGGTAAACAATAATATGTCGGAGAAACAAAAAACACTCTCCGTATGAGAACATGATCAACTATCAGAATATATATAAGCTTGATCAACCAGTAGCCGAAATTGCAATTTAGCTGGTCATTCAATCTCAAAATTTAGAGTGCCAATTAGAGCGACAAAAATCGTAAAGATAAAAAGAATCACTTGGAACTTTTACTTAAAACCACCACACCATTTGGACTCAATATTAGAAACGTTCTCCTAGTAAACTAAATTTATTTAATGGCATTCAAAATTTATCTGTATAAATCTGTATGATTTGATCAGTATGGAGTATCAATGGGGTCCCCACTAGCACCAGTGCTTGCCAACCTATTCATGGGGCACCCTGGCTTGATCAATATCGTGGACCCAATGTGTTATTCTATCAATCCCTTTGGTTGACAATATTTTGTCTATTCAATTCAAACTAATGCCAATTAATATTTTTGCATAGATTGCCCTAGATAGCCGACACATATGTCAACATAGTAGTATTTAGTGCTGCATACTTTGAAGGCCGAAGCAATCTAAACTTATTATCATTCTTATATAATGTATTAATTGTTGGAAAAATTATTATATTAGTCTAATGATTATATTAATTTTTGGAAAACTTTTAATAAGACTAAATCGTAAAAATCAGTCCTCAAAGATTCTATAGAGAATCCTTATGGTGAGCTGAATATCTGTGACTTTTGGGTGAATTATTTAACTCTGAACTGTAGGGGTCTGTCATTATAAAAATAAAAAAATAACGGACCGCCTGACATGGAACACGACACGGGCAGGTAACATACAGGTACACGTAATATAATATAAAATAGACGTAATAAAAAATATAAAAAAGAAAAAACAAACAAACAAAAAGCAAAAACACTAAAGTACGGTAAGTACTATATCAGAACAAAGACACGGAGAGTTAAAGTTTCTGCAACTCTTTTTCTCCCATCGTTGATGAGTCTGGCCTTTCTGGCACCCAGTCTTTACATATTTGTTTTATATATACTTGTGTAATTGTTACTATTTGATGTTACGAAATATATACGTATTCGTTATTAAGTTTGATGCTTACGTATTTGTATTCCAGTGCAACTCCAAGTATAGCCTATGAGGCTCTTAGATAACTCCTTTTTATATTTGCAGCTGGTCGAAATACAATAGCATAATTTTTTGTAGGATCATAATTTTAGTTGATTTTATGTTAGTCGAGTGCTAACCTAATTGTTGTACTGTATTTCCAGGGAACAGTGAACTTTGCTTTTCGTTATTGATTAAATGACAATATCATGGAATGCAGTGTAAGCGTTTTCCTTTCGACGGTGTGTCTGTTTATATAAAACCAGCTCTTCATGGAAGCACGATGAAAGAAGAGTTATCATAGTTATCACAAGCTTGTTTTTATTTTTGTTTTGGTTGCGGTCGGAAGACTGCAGTGAAATACAGTAGGTTCTGCGAAACGAGATTGCGCATGCGCTAGTCTTCAGACACTCTGGTAAATAATTCATACATTTTTGCTCAACTTACCTACGATATTTCTAATGTGTTATTTCTTTTTTAATTTGGATATCGTATAGAATGTTTTGGGTATTAGTACTAGTTTCCTCGTTTAGTATTTTGACGTACCAGTTATATACATCGGTCAATGAATATCTCGATTTTGACACAACTACAAATTTTAAGCACGTTTACACAGGATCACTGCAGTTTCCAAAGATAACTCTTTGCAACGCAAATATGTTCAGGTAAATGTTTCATAAAACATTAATTATTTTATATTAATAATAATGATAATTACGACTACGATAATGATGATGATAATGATGATGTTGACGATGAACACTACATTATGTATATACATACATATAGGCCTATATATATATATATATATATATATATATATAATTATGCACAAATAATAATAATAATAATATATAAATAATAATAATAATAATAATAATAATTTATAAAGCGCATTTTCAATTACAACTGTTCAATGCGCTTTACACAAGTAAAAATGGACAAATCTAATCAAAATACGGTATATAAGGAAAAATTATACAAAACCCAAGATTAAAACTATCAAATTTAAATTAGAATACACATTAAAATTTTAAAACAGCCAATAAACAATAAGGCAACGAAAATCACGCATTAAAATCAAAGCACATCAAGAATTGATTTACTAAGCATAGCAACGAAAAAGTTCAACGTTTATTTCCATATTTGAGCACACACACACCCACACACCAGTACCTGTCTCTTATAAACATCT